CTCTCTGTGACGATTAAAATATTTTTGCTTTAGAATTTCTGGTGCCTCATCTACTATATCGAGTCCTTTTGGTGGATTGATCTACATTTCAAACGTCGTCTCGGACGAGGCTATTCAGACTTTGAATGTAACGTGACAGGGTCAGTAGTCAGCCCCTCGTTTTTCAAGGGGACCACGTCTGTTCAAGAGTGGAGAGACACTATTCGGTATATTTTATTGTTCGAAATTTTGTAAAACGAGTTTTTCCCGTAAATTTTAACATTTACATTTTCGAGAATTCTATTAATTAGTATGCAAAATTTCCCGTAGCTGGATTCCCTAATGCCATATTTTGTCCTATGATTTTATGCTACACCGCGTCCAACAAACACGAGTACATCACTACTATTTGCTCGAGTAATTCTGAAGGCACCGTTCAGAAATACCAAAAACCGACAGAACGGAGTAAGAAAGCCTGTACAGGCCTTTTTACTTCTAAAGTATTTCTACAATATTTCTTAACGGTGACCTTGGAATTAGTCACGCAAATAGTAGTGACAAGAATCTGATTTTTCAGTAATTTCGCAAAAAACAGCTTGTTGATTCTATTTCAAGAGCTAATTAACTTAGCTAACTGAGCTAATTAATTAGAAGCGTCAACATTGTTCTGTTGTCATGGATTGTGCCCTTCAATAAATTTGAAAACCTCGACTACCCCGACTACCCGTGGGTATTGCTCATATTTGCTACCCCAAAACCCACGAAAACCCGCAAAAACCCGGGGTAGCATACCCTGGTGATGTACTTGTTTTGTTGGACACGGTGTAGACCTAAAACCATTTCGTCATGAACTGTAAAATCTACCGATTTTAAAAATGTACAAAATTATAACGTTTCATCGAATTATTCCATATCTTCTAATTTCCCGCTGATTTTAATGGACGCTAAATACTGCCACTGTCTTTCCCCCCACTTATTGCCCATTATCTTTTGAAATTAGGTTTAGCACTGGAAATCCTTATTTCACTTCGATAAATTATCTAGTTTTATATTACTTCTATATTTTAGACACTTTGGTGCTCCTTGGTCAGAATTTGTCGGCGAACGTGTGGTCCTTTCCGTTCCAGCAGATGTCGCAAGAACTGTAGAAGATCCGTTTGAGATCCTCGTATTTTGGGACGATGTCATCAATTCTATCTCTGACTTTGCTGGCGTAGTTCGTTCTGAGAATTACCAGCGATTCGTGTTCGACGCTGATATTGGGGGAGGCTATATGCATTCCGGATTTCCAATTATGGCACTTCTCGGATCGGCGGGAAATAGCGTCAATTTGACCATTATGCGCCAAAATGTGGGCAACAACTGGGGGTTCTTTCATGAATTGGGGCACAACCATCAGTGGAACGAGTGGACCTTTGAAGGCGGAAGTATGTAAACTGGTCAAACAATGCAAGGTTGCTGGCGACTGCATTCAGATAATTTGTTCAGGAACACAAATAAGCTCGCCCTTTTGTATTTTTCTGAATGCGCGATTTTAACCGCGTGGCAAAATTTTCAGCCAAAACCTAAGGTTTTCAAGACGCTGAAACTCCTTGAATTTTCGCGCGATTAAAAAAAATCAAGAACATGTATGCTTAGAATTAGTTTATATAAAATGAAAAATTCATTTTAAAAAAATGTTGCAAATTCGAATTTTATCCAACTTTTGATTTTCCAAATATGTAAACTCCCGATAAAATGCTAATTTGCAAAATTGTGTAAAGATAAATTTTTGCATTGCAGAGGGACTAATTCCAAGCGTACGTGTTCTTGATTTTTTGAAATCGTGGGAAAATTCAAAAAGTTATAGCGTTTTGTAAACCCCAGATCTTGGCTGATAATTATTTTGACAATTACGCCACACAGTCAACATCGAGCATACAAGAAAATGTATTTAAAAATACGGCTATGCTTATTTTGGTTCCTGTATAAATTAACATTTTTCCCATCGAAATCAGAGTGTATCCGTTAACAAGCTTGCGTTGTAAGTTCTAATAAAATTTCAAAGGCTCGATAAAAAGATAAAGCATATATATGTAAGGCTGAATTGCTTTTTGCCTGCGTTTTTTCAAGTTATTCGTGCTGTTTTGTTTTCAACCTGACGCCACCTAGCGGCATCACGTGTACATACAGTATGCTATAGTTCCAAATGCAGAAATTTTAAAACTGCCAAAAAAGAACAGTATTTTGGCTAAAGCAAACAAAGCACCTGCTCTTTGGCTGTACATATACATGAAATGAATACATGTGGGCTTTATTGACAATTAAAAATGTTTCATGTTCCAAAATTTAAACAGCCGAAGTCACCTGCAACATATTCTCGATGTACGTCATGAACCAATTCTTGGGTCACCCCATGCCAGACACTCGTCCCCACGTCTTACTGCCTGACAACCTTCGGAGGTACATAACTCAGTATATCTCCGATGGAATTAACTACCCAAATTTTCAAAGGGACTACGACCGCGCTCTAATTTTTTATTACCAATTGGAACGAATTTTTGGATGGGCCGCTTACAAAGAGGTGTTCCAGAGGTATCGCAACCTACCGGGGGATGAACTACCATGGAACGATGATGATAAGCGTGACACCTGGCTCATTATTTTTTCAACTGTGGTGCAACGCAATATTGCCGAATTGATGAAATCGTGGGGAATTCCGGTCTCCGCCGCGGCAGAGGATCAAGTTGCCCACCTGCCCGATTCCGGGTTTACGATTTACTCCTTGCTAGAGTAACCAAGCTGACATATGAATGAATGGGAGGCCTCAATATTTTTTTTCGTGTAAACGACCAATTTTTTTATCTGATTAGCTCTTGATAAGAATTACACATTTATTTGCCGTATGTGTTTCACCCTGACGGTACCTATTAATTTGAAATTATGTATGTAAGAGATTAGCTCTCTGGGGGGGTTTTTTCGACTTATTGATTTTTTGCGTGCCCTCCCTCGAAAATATTGAGTCCCCCAAAGATACATATTTATCTGGCAATAATGTGTAATAAATTGAAATTACACAAATTTACAGTGCCTGTTCAAATATTTTTCCTTCATTCAAAATTCATTCACTTCGAAATTCAATTGAAATTATGCATTAATTATTCATTCATTCCATAAATAATTCATTCATTCAATCAATCATTCACCTTATGTATTTAACATAGAAAAAAATTGAATGAATAAAAAACTCATTCATTTTAAAATATTGAATTATTCATTCATTATTAATTCAATGAATTATTGGGCCATTTCACGTCAAGTTTGTAACCAACGTAACTGCGTTACGTTTGTAAACTTACACACGTTTGACCTGAATTGATTTCGTAAAGATTTTTGTAAGCATTTTTCTGGATGATTTTGTCGAGCAATGGCAAACAAATCAAGCAAACGGAAGTTAATTAAGTTTTATCTAATTCTAGCTTTCGCTCTTGTAACTGTTTTTGATCATCGTAATGCTTCAATTTTAAGTCAAATTCTTGATCCATCCGCATCTTCTCATATTCCCATTTTTCTTTAGAAAGATCAAATTCTTCACGCTGAATCTGAAATCTAATTTTTACGGTCTCCGCTAACGCTGCAACGCCCGAGTCTGCTTGATTTTTGCGCTTTCCAAGGGTTGGTCTCTGTACAGACTGAAGAATTGGCTGAGAAGTGGTTTGTTGAACTGACTGTGAGGGTATTTGTTGAACCTGGCTATGGTCAGCGATGTCATTGGTTTCCGCGTGATTGTGTTCAAGCCATTGATCTACATTTTCAAACGGTTCGAACAAATTTGACGGTGTTCCATTTGAAGTCTCATGCACATGGGGTGGATTAGATTTAATCTTCTCTCCATAAATCTCATCTAAGTCTTCGAAAAGTGGACACATCTTGAGAAGCGCTTCTGGGAAGATAGTATGATTGATTAGTATTCTAACTTATTTGTGGTATTTATTATTATTACTTTTAACGGATTCTTCGCCTTCATTCTCCAGGACACCTTGGCCAGTCTGATTCCTCCATTCCAACGCCTTATGGTATTTAGTTTTTAAGTTCCGGACCTGATTTTTAATTTGCACAAACGTGCAACTATCGAAATTGAGAGATTTTTCTACTTCCTGGTAAAATGCTGTTGCATTTGGTTTCTCGATTTCCTTGTCCATTTGAATAACTGATCGTAAATGCTGCAGTAGTGCACGATTTTCTTGCTCAGTCCATACTCGTCGGACTACAACGGATTTTTTCGTCTTAGTAGTGGTATCAATCAGATTCAAATCTGATGACTGATCATCTACTGCGGTTGTATTTTTCTTATTACGCTTGGGTTTGTTCGGCGAAGTCATTTTTACGATAATTTTGATCGGAAATGCAAAAATTAATCACCGAAATAGTTTACGAACTTTTGTTTACGAACGAAAAACATGCCTTTGAAGTGCGTAAGTTTCGTAAGAGTTCGTAAGCTTATTTTCCCTAGAAATGTGTGTAAAAGTTTGTAAAAGTTCGTAAGTTTACAAACGTAACGCAGTTACGCAGGTTACGAACTTTGACGTGAAATGGCCCATTGACTCACTCATTATTGATTTCGTAGTAATTGAGGCCCAGTTACCATGATGTCGATGGTTCTCTTGCTTCCTTGTTTCTATCGAACTTCCTCATTGACACAGTCGTCTAAATTTTTGTACAATTTATGCAACTTGTATACAACTTTTGTGCAATTTTGTGCAATTTGTGCGCTCTTCAATGAAACTAAGGAAGTCATACTTATTATAAATCCCATTTGGTGTTTCTTTTGAGATGATTGTGCTAAAGTTTGGTAAAAATATCATGATTCACAAGAACAATCTCCGATTAAATCGCTTGATTACGATGAAACTGATCGGATATTTTAGTCATTACCAATTTACTGGAAAATAGCTGAAAATTAATTTTAAAAAACTAAAATTAATAGTTCTGAGGATACATGTTTTAGATTTTTTAATTCGTACCAAAATTTGTATGTTTAGTTGTTTGCCAATATGAAATTTTATTTAAAAAATACTTATTTTTGCTTCCGAATCTGGATGGACGTTCCAGTATATCGGTAATTACTTCCTTTGCAACATATAACTCCATTTTTAAAATTGTTTGAAAATTCGAATTTTGTTGGGATATAATATACATATATCGATATTTAGAAACTGGCAAAAAATTCGAATTTGATATGATCGTACCCTGGTACACACATATTGTTGCGAAGACATGTATTCAAAAGACGTGAGTTGGATTCACCCTGGGTCACTAAATTTTTCACAATATTGCAATTCCGTATTTAGAAATAAATATAATTTAGTTATTAATTTATTCAAACTTTTCCTTACTACGTCTATTGCAGAGGATACGTCTGAATAACTTAATAGAACAGTAAGCAAGCATAACCGCTGTACAAAGCAGCGACAATAGAAACACGATTACATCAATGGAATGCAATTCTAAATAATTTAGACTTCTTGCCGACGATCTAAGATGTGGGGCTCCATCATATTTCAGTACGTGGTTCGTCCAGAAAATTGCTCGTTCCATTGGTGAATTTATCTGATCTTTGAAAAGCCTTGAAAAAAGTTTGACCCGTTCGGTATACCTAAATTTAAATTTTAAATTTAAATAGCGAATAAAGTCAAAAAATCAAGATAAAAATTAGGAGTCACGTGGTACTTATCCTTCCGTTGAATGTCCCCTTTAAATTAGTGAAAATTATTGGGAATAAAGTTCAATTTTTGAGCATATTTTCCCTTGCTTTTCCTCCACGGGGCGAAAACCAAGGCGCTCGTGTGAACTTTGACCCCCAATATTTTTCTTCAATGGGGCCATTCAACGGAAGGATAAGTGCCACATGACTCCTAATTTTTGCCTTGATTTTTTTGACATTATTCGCTAGTAGATCTCGGTGTAGCTTGAAAAAAGGTTCCATTGTAAGTAATTACTTTGGCTGATCTAAAACTTGTCGAATAGCAACTTCCAACTCGTCCTCGGTAAAATTCCAAATATCCATCTCTATCCCGATACCCTGTTGTGCGATGAGTTTGGCGTTTGCTAATTGGTCAAAAAAGAAAGGGAAGGAGATTAATGGAACGCCATGGTACATGGCTTGCTGCGTACTGAGGAGGCCACCGTGTGAAATAAATAGGCGACAATTTGGATGGCCTGTAAAAAAAAGAAATTATTGAAACTGAAATAATTCATAGAATTAAACATTAATCTACCTAAAATATCTTGCTGTTGAAGCCAGGCCTTGAGGATAATATTACTAGGTAAATTATCCATTTGTTCCGTTTCCCATTTCCAAATGACACGTAGTTTGAGACGAGAAAACGTTGAGATAAATTTTTGACGAATAGATTCTGGTAACGATGTCCCGTTCAAAACTGAACCGAAGCTTATCAGGATAAATCCATTATTGAGAGGTGGACTTGTCACAAATTGTTCAAGGTCCTACATAAACGTAGAATCCGTAAATTAGTCAAAATAAATTAGTAAAGTGAGAAATTTCAGAATATTTACGTGGGATAAAGGTTTAGGATCGTGGCAATGGAGTCCTCCAATTTCCACCACGTCAGGCATAAGGGGTCGGTGGTGGTTCGTGAGAAAATGCGTATTCATCATAACCAGGCTGGCATTTCGGTGAATTTCTCGAACAGACGGCAGATCAGCGCCGAGATGTTTCCGGTAAATAGACTCAAAGGCGGGAATATGGTTATACTCGACTTGAAAATAGACGCCCCAATCCACAACGTAATTCTGTACTCTTTCTAAAAATGTCATTCTATCGGTCAAGTCGAAGGTTGGGAACGGAACGTGAGATGGAGGCATATACATTCCTAGATCTTTAAGGTAATAGTTGGCCGCGGGGTATGTGTGTAGGAGGATGAAGGGGCATCCGATCTTGTGGACGAGGCCGAAAAACGCTTGTCCGAAGTAGAGATTGAGGAAAATTAAGTCATATTTGGTGTCAAGAACGGCCTCCTGGAATTCTGGATGAGTGTAGATCTTGTCGAGAATGTGGGTATATTGGTTCATGTCGAAGAAACTGATGTCCCATTTGGATGGAATTTTTGTGATGTCTTCTTGATCAGAGAAGGCCTCGTGGATGGAGATGGGAATTATTTCAGTCACATTACCATTCCGAGTGGGGTTTTGTACGTTGGTAATTACAGTTATGAGGTGACCATGTGAGGCCAGAGTGTTAATTAATGGTTGGAAGAAGTGTTTCTGACTTAATGTCGAGATTGGGATTAGAAAGAGGATTTTTTTGCACTGGATTACTTGAAGGGTTAAAATAGAGGAAAGTATGAGATGGATTTTCATGACGGGAGAATGGCTGGAATTTGAAAGTCGAATATTTTTAAAAATTGCCCAAGAAATAAAATGAAACTAAAATTTACCAGCCAACGACTCGGTCTTGGGACTGAAATAAATAAATAGTGACTGTCTGTTGGTCAGATTTATGTGATTTGTTTCATATGAATTAATAAACAGCAAGGTACAAAGTACAATTTATCTGACTGTACATATTTATTTATACTTTGCACATGCCACGGAACATGGGAGGGCATTAGGGGTTGTCCCATTCCAACATATCTATGGTATGGGCATTAACATTAAAGAAAATTTTTGTTTAACTTGCAAATTTAGAAATTCGAAAACTTTGGTATTTTTAAAACTCAATTTTTGCCCATAGCGGTAAATCCTTTTGTACAAAAAATTGGAATTTTAAAAATTTGTCAAGAAATAGCCTAATTGTTAAATTAGACCAATTCCAAAATTTACAATTTGAGTAAAAATTGTCTTTAATTTTTGTGCCCATATTATAGGGACCGTTCAAGTATTACGTAGTCAGCTTAGTCAGTCAGTCCTTTTGGTCGACCTATCCTTCCATGTTAAATTTAACATTGGGAGATATGTATGATGATAGGTATCCATCAGTCATATTTTGCCAAATTTTTGATTACGTACTCCTTGAACGGCCCCATAGGCGAAGAGCTTATTAGGGTATGAGGTTTTAATGTCTGTGAGAGAATTACCCCGTGGTTCTGCGGCACCTGATAGCATGCAGATAAAGTAAGTGGATATATTTATTTAATGGTTTACATAAGCTCATGCACCAAGATTTTAACTTGGACGAGTTAGCCTGGCTATGTATTAATAACATAGCTGTGCCAAAGGTTGACCCAGTAAGTAAGTAATCTTTTATTCGAGTGTCAATAAATATCAATTCATTACAAACTGCTTGATTCATGTATCATTGCTTTGATTTTATCATGGGTTAACAGTAAACTGATATACATACATTTGTAACGTATGTTACAAGAAATAAAAATCTCACGGTTGTACATATTACATAATTCGCCTCAATTTGTATACAACTTTTGAAGCTAAGAAGTTTCTAATTTTTAAAAAACTGATATTATAAGTGAAGGATGTCGCAAGTTCGATTAGGAAAGTGTGTGAATTTTCGGAAATTAGAATTTTAGTAAATTTGTTTCTTACAAAAATGAGATCTACAGGGGTTTTCCAATTAATGCTTAACATGGGGCATTAAATATGGGGCGGGGGGTGCTCAATGTGTTAGCAAAGCAACCTATGTTTTTGAATAATTGAACTCCATACTCACCAAATTTTTAATTTCAATTAAATTTCAATTAGCTCATTTTTCTTGTTCTTTCCGGAACTATGTATTTAACTCATTCCAAGCTTAGAATAGAGTACATTTTGCTAATTTAAAATTAAGCCGACGTTAATTGGTTTTTAACTAATTTGTACTGCATTCTACATAATGATCTGGAATTTAATAGATCAAATTGGTTTGCAGTCAAATAGGATTGAACTTGGCGGTTGGGGCTCCTCCAACAATTGGATATATTTTACTTCCCTGAACCGATGAGGATTGGTTGGACACATGTCGAAGCATAAAATAATTTGTCTTATGCCAATTTATTGTCGGAGGTTATGCTCCTCATGGATGAAGAGGTTAGCAAAATAATAAAAAAATTCTTGGTGAAGCTTCCTTTTAATATAAATTTAATCAGATATCGCGATCTTCTTCAGAATAGTGGTAATAAATTTATATTAAGAAACCCCAAGGATTACACGATCTGTAATTTTCAATATTTTTAAAAATTCTTCATAAAATAAGACAGCAGCATCGGCTGCCAGGTGGAAGTCTTCTGCCCGGCGCAATAGGGATTCTCACTTGTTGCACGACCTCTGGAGTCGTGTGTGGCTTCGGGTTTGCAGGCGGCGTTGAGGTATTTGGCTCTGGCATGATTTATTACGGTTTCGATTTTCAGTTAGTTTATTTTTAAATCTAGATTTGAAAATTTGAAAATAAAAGTTGGATCTAAAAATTATGTACATTATTAAATTAGTGAATATTGGCTGTTCAATTGTAGACCATTAAATAGTATTTAAACAAATCCCCGATGGAACTACCACCATATAAAGGTCAGATTTAAATACCCCTAGCTGACTTTCTGCCTGGCTGACCAAGAGGATTTCAAGAGTTTCAGATATTGTAATCCGGATTAAATGGATGGTTGTAGAAATTATTCTAAAAAATTAGAGATTATTGTGATTTGTACCTGATTTATGTATAATGTAAGTCAAAAGAGTTACTAAACGCTTTAATAATTCTCGCTTGACTAAGAGAACAATTTATTTTAAGTACTAAATGTTCTGGTTGACTTAACACTTATTGAATCAGTTCTCTTACCACCAGAATTTATTTAATTGATGTTTGATATCAATAATTGATAACGATAAATTGCGATAATACCGAAAATGGAAAGTTCAAATATTGAGGAGGTTAATCAGACGAACATACTTTTCAAGGCAAACTAAGTATAAAATCAATTAATAATGACATGCGATAAGAGTAGCAGATTGTTATGCAATTAATCAATTAATTTCTGCCAATAAATCTTAATGATGGAAAATGAGGGATACGTACAAATCTTTGTCGCATCGATCTCAACGATTTCCATAAAAATTATTACAAATTTAATTATACTTCCAACCATCGCCTTCAGAGGTCACGATGAAGACGATGTTGACATGTAGTATGCAGACTCACTCTGCTAGCTGAGGCGGGGATGGTAGTACATAGGACGACAAGTTCAGTCGTACTATGTGTGGTGGAAGTTGCATTGCATTCGTTTGGTGAGTTCATCCTTCATATGGAGAAAGAGAGAGCGAGATGCTGGGTTTGTGAGGGAGAGAAAGTTGGAGGAGGAAACAAAGCAGGAAGGACGGATGACGGGTTTTACTTGGAGAAGCAGTTTATTTATAAGTATTAATCCACCATATAGTCGTGTGAATAAGCAAACTATAAGTAGATGGTTGAAATGTATCTTAGATTTAGCAGGGGTCGATGTATCAATGTATAAAAGCCATAGCTATCGTCATGCAAGTACAAGCAAGGCTTCGATGAATGCAGCCAGTTTAGATGTTATATTTTCTCGTGCCGGTTGGACTAAAGGTTCCAAAATGTTTGCACGATTCTATAATAGGCCATTAGATGAACGATGTAGTTTTGCCGAAGCTGTTCTAAAATAAATTTTTGCTTGTTAATTTGTTGACTCGTCGCTTGTTCTTTAAACATCTACATGTCAACATCGTCTTCATCGTGACCTCTGAAGGCGATGGTTGGAAGTATAATTGTAGATTAACCTTACCTGAAAGGTGAGAAGTTGATCGTAATTATACGACAACCTGAGCCTGAAAGAGGTCACGTCCCTCCCACCCACACCCTGTTTCGCGACTCGTTTTCTTTAAACTAACTGACGGGTGATTGGAGAAGGAGCGGGGGAATAAGGGATGCATTTACTTTTTACTTTGTTCTTTAAACTACGCCTCAGCTAGCAGAGTGAGTCTGCATACTACATGTCAACATCGTCTTCATCGTGACCTCTTTCAGGCTCAGGTTGTCGTATAATTACGATCAACTTCTCACCTTTCAGGTAAGGTTAATCTACAATTTTCGGTGGAAGGGTTCACGTAGTATAGGAATTTAAGAACTGCATGTAACCACACCCCCTTTAAAAATTGAGACAAGAAACTGGGAAAAATGAGAAAGCTAGTATACACTCGGTACAACAAGAATTAGGCCCCAACTTGCATTTGACATTCGAATTCCCCCCTGAATAAGAACATTTTGATGCATCAAAAATTTCAAAATTCGAATATTCGCGGTTTTTTTACATACACATAAATCGTTAAAAAAGTCATGGTTCCGGTCATTTCACTTCTGACAACCTGATGCCAGATTTGTCTACGTCAAACGAGCTATATTCTCAGCTTTTGTTGTCCGAAGTGAAATGACCGGAACCATGACTTTTTTGAGGTCAAAGTTTCAGTGGGGCCATCTTGTATGGCAAAGGCCGTAACAATGAAATGTGAAATGTTTGCCAGAGAGAGACAAAGACTGGTGATTTTCATACGCTCCTTCTGCGAGCGGGTAGTGACACCTGCGAGAATCAGCCTGAATCTCTGTCTCTCTCTGAAAAATGGAATTAAGAAAAGTTGTACACTTCCAGTGGAATTCATCTAATGTTAAAATGAAGGGTGGAGGATAAACTATAACTTTCCCTACAAAATATCAGGATCAATTATTCCGAACAACGATTTATTGTGAGATTACATTTAGATATTATAGTTTATGGAAATTTTCATTTACATATACAGATTTAGAAATCTAATATCAGTGTTGTTTAACTACTCGATAAAGTAGTTGAACTAGAACTACGTTTATGGAATGTCGTTGAATTTTAACTACATTTTCAACTACTTCCTGAAATGTAGTCAACTACTTTTCAACTACTTTCAACTACATTTCAACTACTTTTTTTATTTTATTACATAGCATATATTCTATTCATATTATTAATTTGAATCTCAAAGCTTCTTTCGACAATTACGAATTGTGGTTCAAAATTGCTAATGCGACACTTTGTTTATCCCTGGCTCATTAGTAATCCCCCATAATCGGGATGTTTCCTCTACAAAGTTAGCTTTTTTGCTTTCCTGAAGTACAAGGATGATCAAAATTCTGACATCTATGAAAAACAATAATAGCGTTCCAATTCGTTAGATGATATGCACTGAATTTGATATTGGGTTTATCCTTTTGAGCACAACTGAACAGGTTAAGTAGTGCTGAAAGGTATAAAGTTTACTCACTTGAATTTCTATATAAACACATTATTAGTGTTACTTCACTGACTAGATGTTTTAATGAGTTTGAAAAAAAATCAATAACCTCATCCACTCGAGCTAAATTTAACTTCGTAGTTCCACGCATGAAAACGTCATTTGGTCAAAGTACATTCACTTATCAAGCTATTAAAAACTGGAACACAATACCCATGACAATTAAAGAAAGCAAAAGTTTTGATATCTTTTCAAAATTATTACGACAACACTATGTATCAGAAGGAAGAAATGACTTCATCAGACTGTAATTTGAAGCTTAGATTCTAGAATATTACCACTTAGGAAATGTAGAATTAGGAATTTTTTAAAATTAAAATCATGTTGTTATTGTTATTATTATCCGATGTTTTTAACCTTTTTACGCGTATGTGACCCAGGGTTTCGTTGATGTCACTTTTTGAAGCCTAATGCCAGCATTAATGGCAACAACCGGCATCAAGTGGCATCAAGTGGCATTAAGTCAAAAAATGGGCGGATGGAACTGGCTAGTGCCAGCCACTTGATACCACCAGCTAGTGCCACCTGAAACCTTGATGTGACCTATAATATGTAAACATATTATATGCTGAAGTAACTTGAATAAAGATTGAATTGAATTGAATTGGATTTGCAATAATTTTTAAAACCGCCATAACTATTGAAATCCTGGGCGGATTTTCAAAAAAATTTCCAAAAATCATGAAAAAGAGATTAACTTTCGTATAGCATGACATTTTTCGAAATATTTAAATGTTGCAATGATGTTTGTTTAAATTTTTTTTAGTTTTGCGATATTCTTAGACACAGGAATTTGTCGATTTGTGGAATTTTTTATTTATTTCTTAAAATTTTGACCTTTGTGATTATTTTAAGCCCAAAATTTTGAAAATCCCACGGAAACTGCAAAAGTAATGGAGGTTTAAAATTGGTGGAAAACGCGAATTTTTAAGTTTGGCGCCACGCTACAGCCGCAAATATGAGTTTTACACGGAAATATGAATAGATCCTTCGTCTAGGGTCTTACTAGGTGTACTCAGGAGGTGTCGTCTGGAACTAGCTATCCCACTATGTTTTTTTAGAATCTACTTAGGTCCCACATGAAGGATAAAATCTTTTGCCATGTAAAACTCATATTTGGCGCCGAGGTCAGGCGCCAAATTCACCAAATTTGCGTGTTTTTAATTTTCAAATCGCCATAACTTTTGAGATTCTTGATTGATTTTCAAAATTTTAGTACCAGAATGATCACAAATAGTTAAGTTTTCACACAAGAAAATTTAGATACATAGATAGATAGATAGAGTTTATTCGATCCCTATCGAGGCCACTGACGGGCCCATGAGGGTACAATTGTTGCAAATACATTGATTATTTTACAAGAGAGACGCTTGGTTTACAATTCATGGTCAGTTTCATACAAAGTTTACATTGAAAATGGGTAATGAGAGCGGAGTTGACACCCCTAGTTACAAGACATTTACAAAACAAAGGCATATATAAATATGTTAAATTGTTTGTATGTATGCATCAAAGACTATACGTTACTACATATATCAACATATGAGTAAGTTGAGCTGAAGGTTTCCATCGTGGGAAAGGAATTTAGGGCAAATGTGTCGTAAAACGTCGAGTGTGTATGTGGAGCAGCACAGCAGACAAGGAAGGGGAAGAATGGACCATATTTGAGACGTCACATCCGGAGTCGTGTTGAGACTTGTAAGAATTTGAAGGTGATGGGGTGTATGGTATTATTAATGTGGCGATGAATGTAAATGTACCACCACCATCAAACTGGATTGGAAGGCCCAAAGGACGGAGTGGGGCTGCCGGAAACTTGTGCGAGGAGCTGAACGTGACCCAATCTGCAGCGTGAAGAGCATGACGACCAACCCCCCAGATGGTCGACAAGACAAGTCGTTTGGAGCTTCCTCCTGGGCCAGAGAGTGGGAGTGGCTGGAAGGGCGTCCCCGTCCCGGCCAGATCCCCGTCCTGCACTGCAACAAGCGCAGATGCAGGGCGCGAGCAGCCAATTTTACGGAGCTGTACCGCGTATTTAATTACGTAGCGAATTGGTTGGCGTTGCACTTTTGTAGAATTAGCACTCTCGATAACTTTTGCACAAATGGGAGGAAAATATCGGTCGAGTATTCGGTCAGTATCCCGTGCCCACTGTTCTTTAAGTTCACAGATCGCGTTATCAATTGCTTCCTGAAGATCAGTTTGAAGTGCCATAATTATATTGGTTTTACGTTATTGTTTGCAACTTGATGTACAGTTGCTCTGAGTAACTCTCTCAGATGAGATGCGTTGTGAGAGAAAAAACTTAAATGAGAGCGAGCAGAGGACCAGTCTGCTCAACTCGGTGTCTCAATCGCGTCTACATAAGAAAATTTAAAAATTCTCGTTTTTCAATTATTTCGTAAAATTCTGATTAATTGTGATCACTTTGATCCAAAAATTTTGAAATCCCGCTTAAACTTAAAAAGTTATACATT